CTTCCGGGGCCCCCCCTCCTTCCAACTCCACCGCCATCCTCCCCCCTTCCTCCAGGCAAGGCAGCCAGCTCAATCTCAATGACCACTTGCTTGGCCACTCTCCAAGTTCCACAGCCACAAGTGGGCCCGGTGGAGGCAGCCGGCACCGGCAGGCTAGCCCCCTGGTGCACCGGCGGGACAGCAACCCCTTCACGGAGATCGCCATGAGCTCCTGCAAGTACAGCGGTGGGGTCATGAAGCCCCTCAGCCGCCTCAGCGCCTCCCGGAGGAACCTCATCGAGGCTGAACCCGAGGGCCAACCCCTCCAGCTCTTCAGCCCTAGCAACCCCCCCGAGATCGTCATCTCCTCCCGGGAGGACAACCATGCCCACCAGACCCTGCTCCACCACCCCAACGCCACCCACAACCACCAGCATGCCGGCCCCACTGCCAGCAGCACCACCTTCCCCAAAGCCAACAAGCGGAAAAACCAAAACATTGGCTATAAGCTGGGACACAGGAGGGCCCTGTTTGAAAAGAGAAAGCGACTGAGTGACTATGCTCTGATTTTTGGGATGTTTGGAATTGTTGTTATGGTGATAGAGACCGAGCTCTCTTGGGGTTTGTACTCAAAGGTAGGGGCTGTGGTTTCTCTTTATACCTTGAACAAAAGGGGTATGTAGGTAGCGAGTGAGCGAGCGAGATTGAGAGAGAGAGAGAGGCAGATTGAGAGAGTGAGAGAGAGAGAGTGAGAGAGAGAGATTGAGAGAGGCGGTGGGGGAGAGGCATTTGCTCAGTTCTATTGAACACTCTAACTTCCCATGGTTTTCCTTCTTAATCCCGGGAGAATTCATTCCTCGCTTCTTTTGGAGGGGGGGTGGGCATCCCCTAACACAGTGGCTAATTTGCAGACTCTGTGTTAGGGAGGATTAAAGAATCCCTTCTGAGAAATCGTTTTTCCTCCTGGCTCACTCGTACTGAAGCACAACCCAGCAGCTTAACGCACCAATTAATTACACTCTGCCTTGATGTGTTTGCCAGTTTCCTGCGACTTCCCTCCTCTCCTCCCCTCCCTGCTCCACTCCATTTTCCTGAGGATAAAAAAGAAATAAATGTCTGGGTGGGGGGTGGGGAATCCGTACCGTGGCCCAAGTCCCTTCTCTCATCCCAAGTTTCTATTTCCCTCTTCTTCCTGGAGAGACTCGGGGCAAAAATGGAAAAGCACCCATGACTCTGAGGGCACGGGGGTAAAAATACAGGCGGAGGAAACTGGCATCCCTCCCCTCAGGAAAAAGGACTCAGAATAAACCTGCTGCCACCTCGTAAACATCCCCTGATAAAAATGGCTACAGGTGTTACCCGGGCAGAGCAGATGGGCGCCGCCTTGGCATCGGCTGGGGGGAGCGCCTCTCCTCGGGATGGGATGACAGGGCTTCCCAGGCGGTCCCCGTGAGCCCGCGCCCCAGCTCAGCCCCAGTTCTCCCCTCCCACCCCAACTCCTTCTCCTCGGGATAAATAAAGATGAGTGTGTGTGTGTGTGTGTGTGTGAGTGTGTGTGTGAGGGTGCGCGCCCAGATGGAGAACGGCAGGCACCGGCTTCGGGGGGAGCTGGGCCCGCAGTGGCAGCCTTGCAGTGCAGCCCCAGCATGGAGGAGGGGGGCTTCCCTCCCAGAGGGAATGGAGATTGAGGAAGGTGGGTTGTGGCCTCACTCCTTTTGCATGGAGCCCTCCTGGTGTGAGCTGGAAGGCTTGGAGACCCGGGGATTGATGGCTGGACAAGTGGCTTTTTTCTCACTAGACCTCTCACCCCCAATTTGTTGGTGTGTGTGTGTGTGTGTGTGTGTGTGTGTGTACACGTGTGCATGAGCCTGCTTGTTGCTTGGATTTCTCTATTTGTCATTTTGGGCAGGGGTTGGCTAGGCTGGCCGGCGGGTAGCTGGGAGGGGTTCAGCTGTTGGAGGTTTCAAATAGAGCTTGTTTCAGGCAGGGCACAGCTGCTGCGAGACTGTCACATTCCTTGTTGAAATCCAGCCGCAAAAACCTAGGAGGTGCTGATCGGATTTCCCCCATTCCCAGCATCTCGCTTTAGCCTTGGCCGGGGATGGGCAGACTTGCCCGCCCTGCCAACGGGCGGGGCAGACCTGTCAGAGGACCTGAATAGCCACAACCGGGACTTCCAGGCAGCGGGTCCTCCAGGGACTCACTGCTCCGAGGGGGCTGCCCCAGGCGAGGGCAGCACCTGGAAGTGCCTTGGCTGTAAGCTCGAGGATGAGCCCCTCCGTGAGCAGGAGCAGAAGCGAGCAGGGTTTCCCCTGGAATCGCAGCTCACTTAGTCATCCCCTGTAATGAGCCTCGGAGTCTGCGGGTCCTTCTGCTCGCCGCCTTCTCAGAACCGCCTTCCCTGCTGGGCGCCCTGGGAGACGAGGCTGGCAGCAGCCCCGGGCACAGCTCTAGTTCCCTCTAGTCACCCCTTGGGAACCAGAAGCCCTCCCTGGGGGGAACTGGCGAAGACTTGAGTGCTGGGGGTGTGAGGGGAAAGGGCACCTCTGCAACCCTTTTTTTCAGTGACCTCAGTGGTCTGAGCTGTTGAGGAAACGGCTGGTCCCTGAAACAGTGGCTGAGCAGAGTCCCCAGGGTGGGACTTACGCACTTGTCTTCATGCCGTGGGATGGTCACTGCCAGGCAGGAATGGGCCCTGTCCTCTGCCTGGGGCAGGTGCACCCAGGTGGTACTCAGGAAACGGGTTTTCCAGCACCGGGGGAAGCAGACTCCAGGGGAACGAAGGGGGAGGCGCGCAAGCGCTTGGTCTTCCCCATTTCTCAGTCATCGAGCCTCTGGCTGATGGCAGCCTGAGCAGGCAGTAGCTGAGGTCTGGCTTGCCCCAGCAATGAGCTGGCCACTTCTGTGAGCCTGGGACTGGCATTGTCACGAGCGGGGCTCACTTTAACCTGCTCACCCACTCACCCATCCTTCCATCTATCCATGTATGTTCTGAGTCATTTCTGAAACAGGCGTTTTCTGGGTATCTTCTATGTGCCAGGCCCTTTCAAAGAATCTAGTCGAAGTTGGAATCCTGGTGCTGCCACTGCCGGTTGTGTGATCTTGGACAAGCCGGGAGTCTGTTCCCCCAGCCGCGAAGTGGGGAGAACGAAATGAGAAGTAAGGCCCTCCAGGTAGGGCCGGCTTCAGAAATGGGACCTTTTGTGATCGTCATTAATGATGACGCCAAGGGGAAGAGATGTCATTTTCCTCTGTCATCTTACTCTGGCTCTAGAGTTTGTTGGGGCCTTCAGAGATTAAGAGCTAAGCGTTGACAGTGAGGGAAAAGTTGTGTGTTGGAGGGGAGAAGTTCTGAGAAGAGGCTGGGTCTGCCTGGAGACCACCTTTACACCCGGGTCTGTTGTGTATGGGTGAAGAGCTGCTCCCCAGCCGCATGGAGGAAGACTCTATTTGTGACAAGAGGGTGTGGGTTAGGCTGAGTTCTCTGAGTTCTTCAAGGCAGGAGAACTCAGAGACATTCCATGGGCTCTGGGGAGCTGTGGGCAACACTCCCTTGCTGTGGGACTTTGTGAGTCTGGTTGGCTTTGCTGATCAGTGTGGAGGCAGGAGGATGGACAGGGTGACCGCAGGCATCCCAGGCAAATCAGATAATTCCGCATGGGTGGTGGCAGTTCTCATACAGGGGCACTGGGGAGGGGGTACCCTTTCATCCCTCCCCAGTGATTGAAGGCTTACTAAGCTAGTGTCTGGGCTGCTGTTGTCTGGAGTTCTCTGGTTGTTTTTTTTTACCCTTCCCACGGGGCTGGGGCCTTCCTGCTCACCTGTCTTTGGCTGCCCTCCGCTGCTGAGGAAGCAATTCACTGAGCAGGCCTGGGTCTCTTGAAAAGGAACATGGCATGTGCCCTGAGCATGTTCGCAGTTCATGCAAAAGGAGCCAGCGTGAGGAGGTTGCAAAATCGAGACAGAACGATCCCCAGCTCCCACCCTCACAGGCCGTAGGCGATGACACGGGAAGGAAGCTGCTGGAGCGAGGAGGGATCAGCCGGAGCAGGGGGTGGGGCTTGGTTCCCAGGCAAGTTCAGATAAGAGGACTGTTCCTTATTTCACCTGCCGTGAGGCCAAATGGCAGCGAGATGCCAGAGAGGGCCCTCTGTGCTCCCCAAGCTGGTAGGCAACCCCGAGCTGAGGAACGATCCAGGCTTCTGTAGACAGGTGGTGTTCCTCTCTGCAAGCTCAGGCAGCCTGGCAGGGTCAGGTCTAGAGACGGTTGCGAGATCTTGTTAAGACCCCGTTGCTACCTATCAGTGTGAGTCAGGGTGACAGCAGGAGGATTTGGGGAGTCTTTTCTGGTGTTTTTTTTTTTTTCCTTCTTGAGCCTGTTTGGAGCACACCCACTGCCTTGCCTTGAACTGCCTGCCATGCTCTTTCTACTGGGCCTGGAGAGAGAAACGGGAAGGTCTGGCTCGGCCTGCCCACGCTCTCCTTCTGGGCTGCGGACACCTCACCCATACCCTGCCATCGAGGAGCTGGGCTGGTGCCTCTGTCCAGCTGGCAAGTCACCTGTGGCCCTTGCTTGTCGGGGGCCTTTGGTGTCAGGCCCCAGTCATTCTCTGGGGAGCCTGGAGAATGCTGGTGTGGCAGGGTAGTTCTCCATCAGTTCTGGACAACCTGGAACCACTTCCCCACCCTGGGCCTTGAGTTTCGCCTCCCAGGCAGAGCCTAACCTCTGCTCACCTCGTGCCTGTGCCTGCCTCCCACCAGCTTCCTGCCTCTTATCGCTCCCGCTGCCTCCCCCTTGTGCTGGGGAACCCCCGGGTGTAGAAAGAAGAGTTGGTGTGAAGGTTCTTCCCTGGGCCACCCTGCCCACTCCCATGGGTGGCATCTCTTACCCCTAGTTATTCATCTTCTTCAGATCAACTAGTAGGGGGCCGCCTTGATGGGACAGCCTTCTCTGCACGCCCAGGAGGGCCCAGTCTCCTGCCCATCCACTCTTCAAAGAAAACGCTGTCCCTTAGTCCAAGGCCAGCACGTTGCCTATCTCTTCACTGACAGTGCCAAGGCCAGTGAGCTCCCCACAGCCTCCCTCCCCAGCAACCGGGCTGGGCCACTGGTTCCAGTTCTCTTGCCCTCTGCCTTTCCAGACATGGAGGTCTGGTCTGCAGAAGGGCTGAGAGCAGCCAGCGTGGCTGTGTGGACGGTCTGCACCTTCTGCTCTGACCCAAGTGCCACTCGGGCTGTGGGCGGCTGTCAGAGGTTGCCCTGGTTGTTTTGAGAAGACCCTCCAGGACCTTGGTGTCCGCACTCTCAGACATGTGGGATAGAACCAACCCTTTTTTATTTTTATTTTTTTGGAGAGGTTTTCGCTATAGGGTGCATGCGCTCACCAGACAGACAGAGAGAGACAGAGAGATAGAAAGCGAGAAATCACCCCCCAGAGGGGATGGTCACGCCGCAATCCCTCCTCCTCCGTTCTCCTCTCAGGATCTTGGGCACGCACGCACACGCGCCCGGCATGAGTTTAAGCCACCGGGTCTGGGACGTGAACCGTGATCGACTACATGGGAGTTCAGTGACATAGCCATTACGCTAACTGCTGGTCCCAGGACTGACCCTTTCCCGTGGACCCTCCTCGTGA